CGGGGTAGAACCATATATAAAATTCTCAGAAGGGCGAATAATTTTGACCAACTGATAATCGTTTTGAATAATCGTGATTACAATTATGACCAAAATAATCGTGATTATGATTTTTCCTATAATCAAGTAGCCATATGTACGGCAAACATAATAAATTGTTTTAGCTGATATCCATGCGAGGCGTCTTAATAAGGGCATGGGCAACTATGAATGGAAGCGCCTTTTGTAAATGCGTGGTACGATAGCCTCATTGTCGCAATGTGCAGGGATAGTAGAGGTGGGCATTAAGGCTTTACTTTAAACCATAAAAAATATTACTTTGGAATCTTACAGTGATTAAAATCACAAGCATATCTGGCCCAATTCATTCATAAAGTCTTTACCACAGAGCCCATTTATGAGCTGTCAAGAGATAGGGCGGGACCATCTAAAGTTATTTTAGAGCTCATTGGATGGTGACATAGATATATACACAAAATATCGCATAGGGACCCTGAGCATGCATCAATAGCGCCGCCACATTATTATAGTGCTCCCAGGACAAGTCAAGCACTAGTCAAGACAGTGTTTTTACGTGAAGATGCTGGACTTTAGCGCTGTCTACGGGTGTAGTAACAAGCAAACAAAGAAAACAAAGCACAAAGGCAGAACATTTCATAGGTAAGGTTTAGTTTTTTAGGTTTTCGTATGTTATGAACTTTTGTCCTAAACAGGACACGTTATTGATGATAACAGTCACATACTGCATTCATTATACGGCAAAGCAACTTCAACTCACACTAAACACTCGGCTTATGCTAGTTTTGTTGAATAATATCAGCAAACAATGCAAAAGAAATATGACAACGAGCTGCTGCGCTGCCAGAAACTTGTATTATTGTCGGCTAGTGAAGGACAACTCCCAATCATAGATATACATGTATTTGTGTATATCTCTGGCTCTGGATGGCCACAGTCGTCTACTGCAGCTTGGTCCCGCATTCATTTCAAAGGAGCGCTACCCTGTACTAAAATGTCGGCTCTATTGACGCATTCCTTCCAATAGACAACAACAGGATAGGGGACATCTAATGTATATATCTATGGTATGGTGACGCTTCTCCTTTCAGCTATTGGCTCTAAGAAGTGTCAATCAAAAGTGCAAGAGGCCGGCGGCCATTTTGTTGACCAAATCACTAGTGTTATGACTGGAGACGCTACTCTATTAAGCGCATTCCAGCGATTAGTTTGAATGATTAACATGGATGTTTATCAAAGTATGAATAAGTTGTGGAGTAATGTTTTAAGGAATGGATTGCCTGGATCCTTGCTTGAGAGGTGAAATTCTTTAGTAGAAATTATTATTTTCGCGCTAGATTCGTCTTTCAAAAGAAAAAGGTTTTTGTCTTTATTGAAGTGTAGTTTGCGAGGCTTCCCTTTAAAATGTGCTATATACATTACCGCGGGTGCACTGCAAGAAGAGCGGTGAGAGTTTGGGTTCATTGCAATGGCTTGGATCGCCGGCATCTTGAGTTTAGGCGGAGTTCATCGACGGTGATGGACTTTTGACTGTGATCTTGTTGGAGAATTGGGTTGAAAATATAGTGAATGCGTCATGTGAGGCACTTTGACGTGGAAGGTTGAGAAGTTGTTTTTGTTTTTAAAGAAGAAATTATTGTTGGAGTTATAGGTAAAGATGTAGTTGTTGTTTTTGAAGTGATAGTTGTAGCAGCTGATGCGGAGCAGTACGTTCTTCAAATCGAAAATGACTGTTGTGAGAAACCCTGGCTCTTTATAGTTAGGAATCGTCTGATTTGTGGATCATACATAACTAAAGCAGAACCAATCATGTTCAATCTTAATCATGTGATCCTCTAGAAATTAGTTTCTTTACTGTCATCATGATCAAGCATGGTGCATTTTTGCATTTTGGCTGCATATTTGCAGGTCAAATGCATGTTTGAGGCCTGAAAACGGAAACTTGTGAAAACAAGTTTTAATTCAATTCATCTTTATTTCTATATCACTTTTTACCATTTAGTTTGTGACAGCAGCTTAACATAGATGAAGAAAAGAAATAAAAGTCATAATATTTCAAATAGTGGAACGTTCCAGCAATTCATGCAGGTAGGAAAGTAGTGTAGAGTGCAGATGTAGTTCAGACAAAATTAAAACTGCTTCAGTTTAGTTTAGTATAAATGTCACTTTTAAAGTTCACTTTAATTCAGATCAGTGTGTTGAAAATGTCACTGCTGAATGCCGATCCACTAAAGAACAATCCATAAATGTGCAGCTCCACAACCGAGACTAAAGTAAACATTTTTAAAAATTTACCTTTGTTGGCTTCCCTGTGAACTTAAAAAAAAAAAAACACAACATACATGTGAGAACCAGGATCATTTTGACATAGTTGTCATCTGTAATGAAAACTTCTCAAAAAGACAGGAAAATGAAAAATAAAATAAAAAAACAATGGGAATATACTAGACAAGGAGAATGTGGATAACAGTAAAATCCATAGACATAAAGGTAATTAATTACTAAAGAAACTTCAAAAAAATAATGTGTACAGGGAATTAATAGGAAACAAAACTTTAATACAACCCCAAATCAGAAAATTTTGTGATAGTATGGAAAACACACACACACACACACACAAAAAGAAAATAATGATTTTTTTAAATTTACTTTGACTTGTATTTCATTGCAGACAATACAACAAATATTATTTATTGTGTTCCTCATGATGTTTATTGTTGTTTTTTTCACAAAATAAATATTCAAATTTTGGTTCAACACATTTAAAAAAAAGTTGTAACAGTAAAGCATTTACCACTTTGTAATGATGTTATTCCTTTTCACAACACTTAAAAGACATTTAGGGACTGAAAACACCAAGTGATGAAGTGTTTCGGATGTAATTTTGTCACATTCCTCTTGCAAACATGTCTTTAGGTGGGTGTTACAGCCCAAAACTCAAAACTGGCTCGAATAATAACAATCATGGTTTGAGCCGAACATATGAAAAGACACAGAGGATTGAATTAATAAATTGATGTCCCGTCAATATGTTTAATTTTCATAAATCATAAGTTTCCAAAAGAGGTAAAGCTAGGGAAAACAGGTCTCTGACTATCACAGTTTTTAAATGAACAGATCTAACCTACAAGTCTCGTGAAAGGAATAAAAAACAGGTGAGTCTTCTGGGCCACTGCTTACCTTCGCTAAACTAAATAAATAACAAAACGTGACTATGAAAAATAGTCCACTACCTGCTACAGAAACAAAGTATCAAAATACACAAAATAGTTAACACATTACGAACTAAAGAATCAAAATGTTAACAAAAACAAAACACTAAATGGAGCGGCATATAGATGGATCGCCTGGCATGCGGACCACCGCCAGCCAGACCGCCTGAGCGCAAGCCACCACCAAGCTGTGGGAGAGCAAATTGCGAGAGAGAGAGACAGAGAGAGACTGAGCCGCCATTGCTGTCAGCCTTATATACTGGAAATCCCCAGTGACGTCACAGGCGTCATCCAATCCTGGATAAGCAGGGTAGAAAAACTCCACCTATAACTCAAGCGCAACAAGCACAAACCCGTAACAAATAAATAAATGAATTAAATAACACAGGGCTGCGTAACAGTGGGCAACACTACGGGGTCTGCCTTGTCGCATTTTGCACTTTATGATGCGCACGCATTCTCTATTGGAGACAGGTCGGGACTGCAGACAGGACAGTCAAGTATCTGTATCTTCTTCCTCCTCAGCAGGACTTTGTAATGTGTGCAGAATGTAGTTTTGCATTGTCATGTTGAAATATGCACGGGCATCCCTGGAAAAGAAGGCAGCACATTGTGCTCCAGAATCTCTATGTACTTTTTAGCATTAGTTGGGCCATCACAAAAGTGCAAGTTACCTTTTCCAAGGGCACTGACATAACCCAATACCATGACAGACCCTGGCTTTTTGACTTGTTGCTGGTAACAGTCATGATGACCCTTTTGTTCTATGGTCTGAAGCACACAGCGTCCATTTCTCCCCAAAAATCCCTGAAATACTCATTCATATGGCCACAGTATAGGTTTCCACAGTTTGATGGTCTATCCCAGATGCCTCCAAGCCCAGAGAAGTTGACACCATTAACATAGGGCTTCCTTTTGACACTACAGTTTTACCTGCCATTTCTGGATGTAATTACATATTTTGGTACTTGACAAAGGTTTGCCAAAGTAGGCCTGAGCCCATGTGATGAAATGAATGAGAATTCTTGATGCAATGCCGCTTAAGGAATCAGAGATTATGGTTGTTCAGTTTAGGCTTGCGCCCTTGTCCTTTACACACTGAAATTCCTCCAGATTCCTTTAATTTTTTAATAATGTTATGCTCTGTTGAAGGTGAAATATCCAAATGTCTTCCTGTCTTTGAGGACCGCTCATTTTTACAGATACTTGTTGGCAAACTGGCGATCCTCTGACCATCTTTGCTTTTAAAGCACTAGACCTTTCTTGGATGCTGCTTTTGTACCAAATTATAATTACAATCGCTTGTTGACATCATCTGTTTTAAATCATATCATTTAACTAATTTACCTGATTACAACCCTAAATTGCCCCTCTCCTAACTTTTTTGTTGTTTTACAAGTAACAAAATCATGAGGAACACATAAAATACTCTTTGTTGTATTGTCTGTAATGAAATATAAGTCAAAGTAAATTTAAAAATCACTACTTACTTTTTTGTTTGTGTTTTCCATTTCGTCCCAACTTTTTCTGATTTGTGGTTGTATTAAAAATACACAAAACTTGCAATAAATTAAGGAAAATAAATATATTTGTGAGTAGGGGTGGAGGTAAATTCAAATCTCAATGGATATGAAAGCATCACAAATGATTATAAAATTGCAAATATATTGCCAAACTTAAAAAAAAGTCAAGATTGAATTGTAAAATGTAGAGATTAATGTAGCGAATTTAGCAATTCTAAAACTCCGATTTTCTTTTCTTCTCTTTTAGGATCAACACCTAGACGCAGAAATAGTACCGAAGGACTTCGTCCATACAGTAAGATGCCATTGTGAATGCTTATGTAGCGTATTCTAGGTTTAACCTACAGTACAGGTTTAACCTACAATCGGTTGCTCAAAAAGGATTCTATAAGATAATAGTTTAATAAACACAATGAAAATAGCAGAATAAAATATATCAGTAAATACTTATATCAAAATACTAAACTCGGATATAGATTTCATTATTGAAGCTGTTTATGTGACTTTTAGTTAATAATGTCTTTTTTTTTGCTTGTGTCATTACAGTGGATGAAGAGAATGCCAGTCAACAAATAGAGAGTATGCGAAGGCAAATGACAGCAGTAGTTTTATCTCAAAGAGCTGGCGCACAAATAGAAGGGGTCGCTGAGGCCACAACGCAAATGGTTCAAGAAAGGAGACAAGAGAGTATTGCCATAGAGCAACAGAGATCCCCCTTAGAACTATACAGACCATCTTTATATTCAATAATGCTAATAGATCTGGACCTTAGGCAAGACAATGTCACCTGGCCAGCTGTACAATCACAGGTACATGAAAGAGAAAGAACACCAGAGTCAGCCACTAGAAGTAGGAGACGAGAAAGGTCAAAAGACAAAAAACAAGATGAGAGTAAATGACAAATTTTGTAGAACCTTATAGAATCAATGCAAAAAAGTCAATGCTTCTAATCTATAAGTGCATAGATTGACAATTTGCTTTTCTGACATGTATAGTCCTAGCTTGAAAGGCTCTTTTGATATTGTATATTAAATGTTTACACTGGTGGTGTTTAAAACAATCCATAGATTGTATATTGACTCTTAAAATACTTACATATTTGTAACTACGACTTTAAAATTTTACTTTACATGACCCAGTAGGCTGAAATTCATAGAAATTTTAACTCAAATTGTTATTGTGATAAAAAAAAAATCATCACAAAGACAAGGGATTTTAGTCATTTTGTATTTTTACTATAAATAGCATTCAAAACAAATTAGCTCTTTCATGTTACATTAGATTATTGACGATCTGAGATGACTGTTATTTTCCCGCGCGCCACGTCACATCACCTCTCGAACTCGCGTGAGTCCTCCCGCCGCCCACGCGTGACATCTGGAGTAGAGAGAGAGAGAGAAAAAAAACATGAAATAAATAAATAAATGAGCAAGGTGCAGTTCCGCCAGGAGCCCCGAGTGAGTGAGAGTGTGTGTGTACGCGCGCTCGCGTGTGTGTGAATGTGTGTGTGGCGTCTGTCTGAAACATGAACTGCTTGCTTTAGACATCCAGGAGTGATTTCAAAACGCAGGAAATATCCTATATCCTCATATATATATATATATATATATATATATATATATATATATATATATATATATATATATTTATTTGCTTTCGTGTCAATATTACAGTGAACACAGTGATCGGTGGTCAACCCAGAACAGAAGGAGATACTGACAGTGAGGCAGATCAGCAAACACTGGAAATAACACAAGAAAGAAATGAGAATTTTCCAGTATAAACAAGAAAGATCCTCTTCAGAGGCATATTGGACAAAATCAAGATGAGGGATTAAGCTCTAATTTTAAAGCTATTCTGGCTGGATTTAGCCCCAACTCAGTTGCCTGAAAGCATACTGTGCGATTATTAGAAATGGGCTTGAGATCACGAATCAGCAAAAGCTGTTTCTTTACTCTCCAATTTTTTAAATGGTGGCAGGGATTCTCTGAGGGAAAGTGCTTTGCAAGTGTGTGTCTAAAAGTGGAGTGGAACGCACCCTTGTTCAGTTGTCAGTGTATTGATCAGACAGTCAGCCATTTTAAATGCTTTAAATCCATTTTAAATTACAATTACAAAATTCTTACAGTGAACTGACATGTTTTATTTCTGTATACAAAGTCTTGGGAATTGGATTTCTTACAAGACCTGTTAGTATGAAAATTATATATGTATTTCTTCAATATCAGATATATAATTTTATCAACAATTAAATGTATATTACCACTGAATGCAAAAAAAATTATAATTACATTTATTTATCAGATAAGACTTGTGATCTTAATTAAAATTTGTAATAAGTCATAATTATTCAATTCAATTCAGCTTTGTGTAACGCTTTTACAATGTAGATTGTGTCAAAGCAGCTTCACATAAATGGTCACAGTAACTGGAACAGTGTGGTTCAGGTTTTAGTGTTTAAGTTCAGTTCAGTTCAGTTTAGCTCAGTTCAGTGTGATTTAATCATTACTGAGAGTTCAAACACTGAAGAGCAAATTCATCGATGCGTAGCTCTACCAATCCTGAACCATGCAAGCTAGAGGCGACAGTGAAGAGGGAAAAAAAACTTCACCAATAGTAGAGTGAAGAAAAAAAACCTTGATAGAAACCAGACTCAGTTGGGCACGACCATTTTAATTTCTCCGCTGGCTAAAAGTCTTGTGTAGAGCTGCAGTCTCAGCGGTGGAGGCTGGAAGCTGGCCTCAGCAAAGACTCGTCTTTTTCTGGAGCGTCACTGGAATCTGTCTCATGTTTTCCACTCCCCATGAACATCAGCGCAGCAGCAGCTCAGGATACGGCCTGGTCCCGGATATGGAAACCTTGGGATCATCTCGTCGCCTGTCTTGGATCCAATCAGTTACTTTGCATAATCTGAGGACCTCGGGATGAGTATCACCAGGTGGAAATGGAGAAAAAAAGAGAATAATTAGCGTAGCTGTTGTTCATAGTGTATATAAACAAGATGCAGAAGCCTGTGTGGAACCCACAAAGTGATGCATTGAGTGTATGCTTTACTAAACAGATAGGTCTTTAATCTAGTTTTGAACTGGGAGAGTGTGTCTGAGCCTCGGACGTTATCAGGAAGGCTATTCCAGAGTGTAGGAGCTATAAAGGAGAAGGCTCAACCTCCTTTACTTGATTTTGCTATTCTAGGTACTACCAGAAGCCCTGAGTTTTGAGATCTTAAAGAGCGAGTTGGTTTGTAGCGAGACAGAAGGTTGGTTAGATAAACAGGAGCTAGATTATTTAGAGCTTTATAGGTAAGAAGTAATATTTTAAATTCAATACGAAACTTAACAGGCAGCCAGTGTAAGGAGGATAAAATTGGGGTGATATGATCATATTTTCTAGACCTGGTCAGAACTCTGCCTGCTGCATTTTGTACTAATTGACATTTGTTAATAGAGGATGCTGGGCAGCCAGCAAATAGAGCATTACAGTAATCCAGTCTCGAAGTCATAAAAGCATGGACTAGCTTTTTTGCATCAGAGATTGATAGCATACCTCATAATATAGCGATATTTCTCAGATGAAAGAAGGCAGTTTTTGTGACATGGGATATATGGTTTTTAAAAGTTAGATTGCTGTCTAATATGACACCCAAATCTTTTATAGTAGAGCTAAAGCTAACTTTGTATCCCTCTATTTGTAAATTGAGTTGCGAGATCTGCTGTGTACAAGATTTAGGCCCAATAATTAATAAATCTGTTTTGTCGGAGTTTAAGAGAAGAAAATTGTTGGTCATCCAGTCTTTGATGTCTTTGATACACTCAGTTAGTTTAGACAGTTCAGACGTCTCGTCAGGTTTAGTTGAAATATATAATTGAGTATCATCTGCATAGCAGTGAAAGCTGATCCCATGTCTTCTAATAATGTCTCCCAGAGGTAGCATGTAAATTGTAAACAGTAAAGGGCCTAAAACTGATCCTTGAGGCACCCCATACTTTACTGGGCTGACTTGTGAAGGCTGTCCATTATTATTCACAAACTGGTAACGGTCAGTTAAGTATGACTTAAACCATTGTAGAGCCTGTCCCTGGACACCTGTAGACTTTAAGCGATTTATGAGGATATTGTGGTCAATGGTATCAAATGCCGCACTAAGATCGAGTAAAACTAATAGCGAGATGCACCCTCGGTCAGCAGCTAAGAGTAAATCGTTGGTTATTTTCACTAAGGCGGTTTCTGTACTGTGGTGAGCCCTGAAACCTGACTGAAACACTTCAAAAATATTGTTCGTCTGCAGAAAAGAGCATAATTGAGTGGAAACAACTTTTTCTAGTATTTTAGACATAAATGGAAGATTTGAAATAGGCCTATAGTTAGCTCAGTTGTTGAGGTCCAGTTGCGGTTTAATAGGCTTAAAAACAGCTAGCTTGTAAGAGTTAAGAACATGGCCTATAGATAAAGAAGAGTTGATAATGTTAAGAAGAGGTTCTCCTATAACAGGCAGCAATTCTTTCAGTAATTTTGTAATTTTTCTATGATTTTGAAGCAGTGTAGGTTATTATTATAATTCAGTGAAATGTTTACAGGATTTGGAGTATAAGCCGGTGCAGAATGTTTGGCATCTCCTATTTCCTTTCTAAAACCTTCTATTTTATCACTGAAAAAATTCATGAAGTCATCACTACTAATCTGGATCTGGAATTTTGGAACATTTTGTTCCAAGGATGACCGATTATTTGCTAATTTAGAGATGGTGTTAAATAAAAATCTAGGTTTGTTATGATTATTTTTTATCAGTTTGCGCAGGTGCTCGGTCCTGGCAGATTTTAGAGCCCTCCTATAGCTGGACATACTGTCTTTGTACGCAATTCTAAAGACCTCTAAATTAGTTTTTTTCCATTTACGTTCCAGGGCGCGGGTTGCTGTTTTGAGAGCGCGAGTATGACTATTACACCATGGAGTAGTTTTAATCTCTCTAGCCTATTTTAATTTGATGGGTGCCACAGTATTTAGTGTGCTAGTAAAGATGGCATCCATACTGCTGGTTACTACATCAAGGTCATTTGAGTTTGCGGGTGCATTACGAAATAGAGAAAGATCAGTGCAGGCCGTCAGCACGTTAATAGCAATTCCAGTTATTAGCAAAAAAGCAATATCTCTTCTTTACACCATGTTAATAGCCATTCATTCAGAGCAAAAAGTCTACTGAACCTTTCATTTCCTCTGCGGTTAATAATTAATAATTGTAATAATTATAATTTTACATACATAAAGATTGAACATATTTTAATCACATTATAAGCTGCTGTTAAAATGCAAATAATGAGCAGAGATAAAACTTATGAAATAAAGAATGCATTTTGTCAGACCACTTGAACTCTTTTGTGCACACCAATAACACAAATGAAAGCTTCACATTATTACATTATGAAGCCAAAAATCTATTCACCATTTACTCCTTCATTTATTCCAGTTTCTGTCTTCTGTTTCTTTGTTTCTTCTTTACTTTTTGAACTCACTGTGTTTTTTGCATATTAAAAATGGGAACTAACATAAAACAAATCAATAAGCTCAGAGAGTGTATTTTTCTTAAGTCTATTGCATATTTTGAATTTATCTCTAGGTTTAGGTTTACATAATGATTTATAGATTTAACAGTAAAATTATATTTGTTTTGTTATAAGGGTTAACCATGGTCTGTCTTAATAATATTTAAGTCTGATATTCTGTAGTTTTTACCATGGTTCTACCAATGATTGTGCGCAAGTATTTGTTTTGTACAGCAGATAAAAGAAAAACTTAAAATAAACTTGAAACTTGTTAAATATGTTGCAAAACCTGTTCACTGAGGAATGCAGCATTAAGGGAAACAACCTGTTAAGGAAACCACCCTTTTGATTAAAACTAATTCCTCAAACCTTTGTTGCTTTTAGCAAGGAGTATATAAAATGTATTTACTTGGATAGAATTATGTGATTATACTCTCTTAGATGTAGGGTTTTAAACTAAGTTACTTGAACAAACATTCAGTGATGAAGATTGTTGAGAATTTTTGCACAGACATTTTCAGAAAATGACAGGTGAATTGCTGTAAACAGATCATGTGTGGTTCTTTTTTTATATACCTGAAAACTTGTTCTGCCAGTTTTATTGAATGAGAAGTTGTTGCAATACAGTTGTGTGTAAATGCAGATGGAAAATTACTGGTACAAGCATATGAGTTCAGAACTTGCTTGTTAAATCCTCAGTATGAATCAGAAAAATACACACACACTGTTTTTATCCAGTCATCACTTGCCTCTTCTCTTTATTCTTCCTCTTTTTCACTTTTTCTACAACAGCTTCTCCTTGTGGAACTTCTTTGTAACTGAACACAACATTGCTAATGTAAGAAGTGTACCGTAGGCCATTCAGAACATTTTGATGCTTATACCCATGCATGTGATGTCTTTTAAAGGTTTTGTTCAAAGGTAAAGAGTGTGCTGTTGTAACAAATGCTCTACATCAGGGTTCCTTGATAGGCGGCCCAATTTCATATATATATGTATATATATATACAGACAATACAGCATCAATTAGACTTGGGAATGAC